TTCTATTCTAACTTATTTTTTTAAATCATTAAGTTATTATTTATACAAAAATATAAGATTTTTAGTTAATTTAATTTGAATTAACATTTTCTAAGAATTGGAATAAAATTCCAAAAATATCAAGAAATTTCTAAAAATATTATTAAACTTTTCTAAAAATCTTAACAAATTTCTAAATATTTCAACATATTTATAATAATTTCGAAAATATGTCTATAAACATCAACAATTTTCAAGAAATTTATAAATATTACAATAAATATGAAAACTTTCTACAAAATTTAAGAAATTAAAAAAAAACTCAACACATTTCTACAAACGTTACGAAATTTATAAAAAAAATATCAACAAATTTATAAATATTGCAATAAATATGAAAATTTTCTACAAAATTTTAAAAAACTCAACAAATTTCTATAAAAATCTTGAAATTTATAAAAAAAATGTCAACAAATTTCTAAATATTGCAACAAATTGCAAAAAAATATCAACAAATATATAAATATTACAACAAATATTAATAAATGTTTATGAATTTCTATGAACATAATAAAAATTCTAAAAATATCACCAAATTTGTAAATATTGCAATAAATATGAAAACTTTCTACATAATTTAACAAATTTTAAAACAATCAACAAATTCCTATAAACATCATGAAATTTATAAAAAAAAATATTAACAAATTTCTAAATATTGCAGGAAATTGCAAAAAAAGGTCAACTAATTTTGAAATATTTCAACAAATATCAACAATTGATTATAAATTTCTATGAACATGATAAAATATCTAAAAATATCAGCTAATTTCTAAATATTGCAATAAATATGAAAACTTTCTACAAAATTTAACAAATAAAAAAAAAAACTCAACAAATTCCTATAAACATCATGAAATTTATAAAAAAAAATATTAACAAATTTCTAAATATTACAGGAAATTGCAAAAAATGTCAACAAATTTCTAAATGTAGCAACAAATTGCAAAAATATCAACAATTTATATAAATTTCTATGAACACTACAAAAATTCTAAAAATATCAACAAATTTCTAAATATAGCAACAAATTGCAAAAAAAAATCAACAAATTTATAAATATTACAACAAATTTTTATGAATTTTTATGAACATGTTAAAAAAAATCTAAAAATATCAGCAAATTTATAAATATTGTAACAAATTGCTATATAATTTATAAATATTGCAATAAATATCAAAACTTTTAACAAACTTTAACAAATTTCTAAAAAAAATCAACAAATTTCGAAATATTGCAATAGATATTAAAAAGTTTAACAAATTTCTCTAAACATCATGAAATTTTAACAAATATCTAAATATTGTAGCACATTTCTTAACGTATTTAATCCAATTATGAAGAATCTTCTATAAATTTGTAAAATTTCCAGAAAATTCTTAAATTCTAATTTCTAACTGAATTTACTTAGTTCACATTGAGTAGATTCTAACAACAACAACAAAATCTAACAAATTAAACAAATTTGAATGAAAAAAATATTATAATTTGTGATAGAAATAGTTTGATGTGTGCTAGAATGAAAATCAAGTTTAAAAACAATGATCTATAACAAGGGTTTTGTGCATGCATTAGCCACATGAAAAATTGCCCCGTGGTATAAGAGAAAAACCGATAAAACTCTTCGTAATGGGACGCTATTGTTGTGCACATGTGCGTCACAAACCGAATTATTTCCCATCCACGCACGAACGGCACAAGCATTTCCCCATTTACATTTCGCATGCAAATAAACGCGGATGAGTTTCAAAACCCAAGTCATCCCAGCATGACGTCCTCTCCTCTTCATCCAGAACCACACACTAAACTGTATCCATTTCTGGTCCATTTCCCTGGACGCCCACGGCGTTATCTATAGCATCTTCAGCCGAATCCGATTTTATTACCATAAGTCATATCAACCGCAAAGAGGAAATGGATTGAACAGAAGAAAAGAAGAAAAGAAATCCGCGCACCTCGAATGGATTCGATACAACTTACGACTTTTCATCTCCAATTTTTTTTTGTATCTCTTTTCTCTATTACTTCTTCTCCTCCTGTCTTCTCTTTATAATTAACAGACCTCGCTGATATATAATTAAAACATTAGCGGTTGCTGCGATTACAGCGTTTCTTCTTATATAGAAGATCGTACGTTTGGACCATAAACACACTACTTCTACACGCTGCACCTCTAGAAATCTTGTACTCTGCCCAAGAATTATGTGGTAAGCATGACGCGTGACTGTTCAACCCGACAGCTTCAATCGATGCCAAAGATATTGAATCAAACGAACCAAAGAAAATAAAAAAAAACAAATAAAATAAAGTACATAAAACTTTCAAATCGCAGGTGTCAACTACATACGATTCCGAAACGTATGCAAATCTTTCGTTCGGCGCTTTTGATCTGCCGTCGATGTTAATTAATTAGGATCGGTTATTTTATATTTATATAAAAAAAAAGATACGTTGAATCGTTGATCGCAGAGCTAGAATTCTGTATAATTACGCGAATAAAAAAAATATATTTTTTTAGTAAATACGCACGAATCGGCTTAATTAAATTATAAAAATATTTTTAATTGCCATTCGAAAATTCCGACTCACCGCTGTTTCCTTCCTTGATTTATTATTATTATATTCCTCACATCCTCTCTCTTTCGTAACAAATACCAATTATGCAATTTACTTAATGAATCTGATTCAATTATTCTGTCGCATTTTCGCAGAATCGTTTACAGTTTTTTTCCTTTTAATTTACGTTACATAAGATATAGTGAACTTCAGCAAACTTAGTAAGTTTACTAAATTATGTATTTATTTTGCAATAACTAATATTTTGTATTATTTATACATAAAATTTAGTACAATTCCAGAGATTTTCTTAAGTTTCTAAAGTAAGTTTTAATTGAAAATATTTTTTTTATCCAATTAAGAAGTAAAATTTCAATTTAAACTAAGTAATGTGATGTAAAGAAAATATATCATTTGAGATACCTCGCACAGTGCGGGTAATCGATTTCGTCAATATCCTGCACTGTTTGAAACCGGACTAATCAAGACAAAAACTGAAAAAAAAATGGAGTAATTAAAAGACGAAAATTGCCATGAATTTGACAAAAGGATACAATAATAGTCAAATTTTTGGTCGATAACGAAAAATTATATAAAATACAAATATATAAAGAACTAAAAAAAACTTAAGAAACAACGTAAAACGAGGTAATCTTAATTGTATGGACTAATATTATATTTTTTTTGTTATTACTACTTCCATTCAAAATCTCATGAAAATGATTGCGCAATTAAATTTACGAACCGAAACTAAAAGTTTAAACGCTTTTACTCTAAGTATTGTAGCACATTTCTTAACATATTTCATCCAATTATGAAGAATCTTCTATGTACATTAACAAATTTCTAAAAATATCTCATTTAAATTTACGTTACATAAGATATAGTGAACTTAGTAAATTCAGTAAACTTAGTAAGTTTACTAAATTATGTATTTGTTTTGTAATAACTAATATTTTATAAAAATTTACACTGTCTTATTTATACATACAATAATGTATGTTACATAATTACAAGATTTAGTACAATTACTCAGATTTTTTTTAAGTTTCAAAAGTAAGTTTTAATTGAAATTTTTTTTTTTTATCCAATTAAGAAGTAAAATTTCAATTGAGATACCTCGCACAGTGCGATATCTCAATATCTTGCACTGTTTGAAACCGGACTAATCGAGACAAAAACTGATAAAAATTGGATTAATTGAAAGACGAAAATTGCCATGAATTTGATAAAAGCATACAATAATATTATATTATGAATATATAGAAATATTAATAAATTTGTGTGAAAGATTTAAGTCAAATTTTTGGTCAACAACAAAAAAAATATATAAAATACAAATATATAAAGAACTAAAAAAACTTAAGAAACAACGTAAAACGAAATAATCTTAATTGTATTATGAAGTAATATTATATTTTTTGTGTTATTACTATTTCCACTCAAAACCTCATGAAAATGATTGCGCAATTAAATTTACGAACCGAAACTAAAAGTTTAAACGCTTTTACACTTAGTACATTTGTATATATTATTATAATTTTCAGTAATAACGCCTGCATAGCAAATCTGTGAATGTAAGATTTGATTATATCGTAAAAATACTAACATTTAATTTAAATATTTTCATATGAAATTAAAAATTGTTACATAATCATTGCAAAGTTATATTTTTGTATGAATTTCCCTACATTTTTTACACAAATTTAATAAATATACTTTCGCATAGTGCAGTTTCAATCAGTCCGGATTCACTATTTTACGATTTAAAATAAATCTAAAAATTAATAATACATATTTTGTTTTATATACAAATGATCGTTTGTTCTGTTTATTTTAAAGTCCTCAATTAGTCCGGTTTCAAACAGTGCAGGATAATGACGAAATTGATTACTCGCACTGTGCGAGGTATTTCTTTTCTATATAATAAACGTTAATATCATTGTTATATAATCAACAAATTGTAAAATAAATTGTACTAATTTTTACAAATTTAAGTGTATTTATTTAATTTTTAACATTAAACTTTTATCGTTACATTTTTTTTTTGTAATTTTACATTAATTACAAAAAAAAATAAAACGAGTAATGTTTCTAACGGCTGATTAAGTGTGAAAAACAAAATTTGGAATGGAAAAACACTTGGAAGAAGATCGAAATGCAGCTGTAAAAAACAATGTAATCTTAATAATTGCGATTACGCACCAGGAGATAAACGGTATTTTGGCCAAATAACCACCTATGCAACTGTTACGCAACTGACCGGTATGATAGGCGGGTCAATATCAGTCGGCTGATAGGCTTTTTTTGTTAATATCTTGACCCAGGCCTGCATAGGTCAACGATACGACTTAGTATATATGCACGGTGGATTTCAGTGGAAAAGCATACTCGAGGTGTCGTCTTCTCACAGTATCCACACCATGAGAACAGCCTTCATCGTCCTTTTGGCCGGCCTTTGCGCCTTGGCCTCAGCAGCGCCACAATCCAAAGTTGGTAAGTGTTGAAAGTCTTGAATTAAATATGTTTAAAATTTCGAATTGTATTAATGATTGTATGGGGGTTTTGCAGCGAGCAAGGAATTCCTTTCCAAGCAAAAGGATATCCTTCAACTCTTCGAATACGTGAACCAACCGGCTTACTACAAGGAATTCGTCGATACCGCCAAGGAATTCAAATTCGAAGGACACTGGGACCAATGGACCAAGCCCGAATTCGCCAAGCAGTTCTGGCATTACTACCAACACGATATCTTGCCAGAAGGTGAAGTCTTCTCCGTGTTCTACCCAGAGCACTTGAAGCAAGCCATCGCTTTGTTCAAGACCTTCTACTATGCCAAGGATTACGACACTTTCTTCAAGTGCGCCGTTTGGGCTCGCCAACACGTCAACGAAGGCATGTTCGTTTATGCTTTGTCCGTTGCCGTCGTCCACTCCAAGCACACCGAGAACGTGATCTTGCCACCGATCCACGAAATCTTCCCGCACTACTTCTTCACCAGCGAAGTCATCCAGAAGGCACAACAGTACAAGCAACACTACTGGGGAACTTACGAGCACGAGAAGGAAATCAAGGATGCGTCTTACAAGGGCTACACCATCCACGCCAACTACTCCGGCTGGTACATGAACGTCCACCCAGAACAATCCATGACTTACTTCACCGAAGATGTTGGCCTCAACTCCTACTATTACTACCAGAACGTCTACATGCCTTTCTGGATGGAGAAGGAATACATGAACATGGACTCAAGCTTCCGCGGTGAATTCTACTACTTCTACCATCAACAACTTTTGGCCCGTTACTACTTGGAGCGTCTCTCCAACGGCAAGGGAGAAATCCCACACTTCTCCTTCGATCACCCAATCGAAACCGGATTCTACCCATCTTTGACCTACGCCAACGGACTTCACTTCCCAGTCAGGCCAAACCACGCTAACCTCTACTACCACGGCGTCCATGGAGAACAGCACTACAACTTCTTCGGAAACTACTCCAACTCCTACACCTTCGTCGAAGACTACGAAAGGCGTCTTCGCGATGCTCTCGATATGGGATGGGTTTACGGACCCGAAGGCAAGGTTATCCATCTGTTCACCAAGGAAGGATTCGAGACTCTTGGAAACTTGGTTCAAAGCAACCCGCAATCACCAAACGAGCGTTTCTACGGAGACCTCCAAGTCTTCGCTCGCCACCTCTTGGGATACTCCTACTTCCCATTGGACGAATACAAGGTAGCCCCATCCGCTTTGGAGCACTTCGAAACCTCCCTCCGCGACCCAATGTTCTACCAATTCTACAAGAGGATGATGTATTACTTCCACCAATACCAAAACTACATGGGACCATACGAGAAGGAAGAGCTCTTGTTCAAGGGTGTCAAGATTGAAGACATGGAAATCGACCGTCTGATCACCTACTTCGACTTCCACTACTCCGACCTCTCTCACGCCGTCTCCGTCGACGAGAAGGAATTCATCGACGATACCTTCGAGGTCCGCGCTCGCCAATTCCGTCTTAACCACAAGCCATTCAACTACAAGATCAACGTTGCCAGCGAGAAAGCCACCGATGCCTTCGTCAAGGTCTTCATCGGCCCCAAATACGACGAGTTCGGCCGTGAAATCGAGATGGAACACAACTACATGAACTTCTTCGAATTGGACAGGTTCAAGTACTCCCTGCAAGCCGGAAAGAACGTCATCGAACGTAACTCCTACGACAGCGTCTACTTCGCCAGCGACCGCACCACCTACAAGCAACTCTACAAGCAGGTCTTGACCGCCTTCAACGGTGGCGATGCCTTCAAGTACTACCCAGAATACAAGTACTACACCTTCCCACAAAGGCTTATGTTGCCAAAGGGTGAATTCGGAGGCAAGACCTACCAATTCTACGTGATGGTCAGCGAATACCACGCACCCAAGAACAACGAATTCGGCGAATTCCTCGTCGACACCGAATACTCCATGGGATACCCATTGGACAGACCAATTGATTTCGAACACGACTTCTTCGTTCCAAACTCTTACACCAAGGACGTCGTGATCTACCACAAGAACACCGAGGAGGACATCAACACCACCTGGAGCAAACATTAAACGACACAACACGAACACAACTGTTATTCTGTACACACAATAAAAACGAAATGAATTATTAATTGAATTTATCATTTAAAACACGATCCAAAACACTAAAACAAATCATTCTCTATCATTCCACACATCCATAAGAAAACCAACGTGTTTCTTTCTCTTCTTAATTAATATTAATTATTAATGACAAAGGCGTGAAACCTGTCTTGGATTCAGAAACGCCGTATAAATAACAAAAATAAACGGATAGTTGAAAAAGTTAAAATAAAAAAATAAATAAACGAGAGCCGACAGCAATTAGCTGTCTGTGGGAAGGAAGAGGTAATTTATTGGAATAAACAACGACGAAGACGACGCTTTTCCACTCGAAACGCATAAATAAATTGCATTTAAATGCGAGCCGCTTTAATTACGTCCTTAATTACGCGAAACGTAATAACGCCGGATATTTATTGATTGCGCAATTCGAGTGACATTGTGTCTTTTGCGGGGCCTCTCGCGTGTCCCGAAACCATAAGTCCTTCCACAAAACGAAAGAAGAAACTGGAATGGGCACAAAATATTAATTGGTAAGTTTTAAGAATAAAAATAAAATTACTACTTGAAATGCGCAGCGAATCTTAAAGAGTTCCAACAAAATTACATAAAAAAAACAAGCCAAAATGCGATACATTTGAAGAGACGTAAAACGGAATAACTATATACAATTGATTTCAATGGATTAATATAGGGGTAAATGATTAATAAATACAATTTTTATATTAATAAAATATCTTTATGAGAGCGAGTTTTGTTTTATATACAAAGGAGTAAATTGTGATGTCGTTTCACTTTGCGAAAGAGCCGTTATCGTTAGCAGGTGTAAACGTTGTCTAAGGGAAAACGAAACCGCCTAAGCTTGAACAGAGAGAGAGAAAGGACAAAAGCCGACAAACTGCTTTTCGTATATTAAATGAATTGCAGGCGAATGCTGACTGATAACGTCTCGACAGCATAAAAGAAGAATTATTTCACGCACATATTTTTAAACACGGAATTTGTGTCCCTCCCTATCTTTATATGGGCTTTCTTCCATCCAGATTGAAAACGGATTGCAGCAAAAACACATACAATTTGCCAGCTTTATTATTTTTAAAAACTCCAAAAAAAAAAATTAAAACTTCTCACTTAATTTCTATATATATAGATTATATAAGATTTATCAAAGAATTACTTTAAAAAAATGAATATTTACTTGCCAAGTAAATTAAGTAATTAAGAAATTTAATTGAATTAAACAATTAATTAATAACAAAATTCGAAATAAACTTTTGAACTTTAATTTAACAAAGTCAAAAATATGGCTATAAAAACTACAATTTACTTGTCATGTAATATGTTTGTATTTGGTTATTAAGAGATTTAATTATATTTTTTGTAGCACTTTCAATTTTCAATTATTAATTTATAAAAATTTCTTAATTTTAAATTATCTAATAACAAGTGAAACTATTTGCCAATTAATTACTTTTAAAACTACAAGTTACTTGCCAAATAATATGTTAATAATTTGTTTTTGGTAATTATTAGATTTAACTGTATTTTGTCTACCAATTGAAAGTTACAATTATAAATTTCTAAAAACAAGTCAATGAATGAGTCTAAAAACTATGTATTATATCAAATGTTTTTATTAGAGCGATTTATATTAGGTGTTTATTATTGAATCCTTGCAATTATTAATATCAATAAACTTCTAATCTTTATATTAACTTGTCAAGTCTAAAAACCACTATCTACTTGTCAAGTCACACGTAAAGTATATGTATTTAATTATATTTTTTGTAGCACTTTAAATTTTCAATTATTAATTTATAAAAATTTCTTAATTTTAAATTATCTAATAACAAGTGAAACTATTTGCCAATTAATTACTTTGAAAACTACAAGTTGCTTGCCAAATAATATGTTAAGAATTTGTGTTTGGTAATGATTAGATTTAACTGTATTTTGACTACCAATTGAAAGTTGCAATTATAAATTTCTAAAAACAAGTCAATAAATGAGTCTAAAAACTATGCTTTATATCAAATGTTTGTATTACAGCGATTTATATTAGGAGTTTATTATTGAATCCTTGCAATTATTAATATCAATAAACTTCTAATCTTTATATTAACTTATCAAGTCTAAAAACCACTATCTACTTGTCAAGTCACACGTAAAGTATATGTATTTAATTATATTTTTTGTAGCACTTTAAATTTTCAATTATTAATTTATAAAAAATTCTTAACTTTAAATTATATAATAACAAGTAAAACTATTTGCCAATTAATTACTTTGAAAACTACAAGTTACTTGCCAAATAATATGTTAATAATTTGTTTTTGGTAATTATTAGATTTAACTGTATTTTGTCTACCAATTGAAAATTGCAATAATAAATTTCTAAAAACAAGTCAATGAATGAGTCTAAAAACTATTTATTATATCAAATGTTTGTATTAGAGCGATTTATATTAGGAATTTATTAGTAAATCAATCCTAAAAACTATGATCTACTTGTCAAGTCACACGTTAAGTATATGTATTTGGTAATTATGACATGTATTTGTGGTTTAACTGAAGTTTAATGTGTGTATTAATTGTAAATATTTTGAACAAAATATTATCTTTTCACAAGATTTTTTCTTATAGAAAGACACTTATAATTATGACTACGCTTCATTAATTCATATTTTTTATATTGGTTAAAAATCAGCAAATCTTCCTCTATAAATCGTTTAGTTAAAGCTTAAATTATGATTCTGTAATTTATCCTTATATAAGATATAAATAGTTTATATGCGTATGTTTTTATCTTATTTTTCTTCGATATTGGTATAGGCTATGGGAACACGCCTATCACCTACGCCTATTAGAATTTTATCACTTTCGCCTCACGCCTATAAAATATGTTCAAAACACGCCCATGATACATACTCACCACATGTCTCCTATATGACTAACATGCACATAATACACACAGCACGTTTTCTACACAACAACGCACGCTTTCTACAACACGCCAATACAGTGCTAAAAAATAGTAAAAGTCGCATACGACAACTATCTATGACACATGTCAACAAAACTAAATTACCGATTAGCACACTTTGATTGCAACAAACGAATCGAAATAATCGTTACTTTCAACTATAAAACCGAATTGATGGTTTTTTTGGAAGGTTTTCATTTCAAATAGGTTCGTTTATTTTGCATAATCAACTAATCTTAATGACTTTACTGAAAATCAACATAAAGCCTTCAAGGCAGAACCGTAATTGGAATATTTGTGATGTTCGTATCTATCCCAATAAATTGCACAAACGTGACGTGATTTCAATCAAATTTTAGTCATTTTATATAATTAAAAATAATTTTACTCAAGTAAATTTTTATTATTTATTTATATTCCAAAAAATGTATATTTTATTATGAAACACTTTTGTGCTAATACTGAAAAAAAAGTTAAAAATTCTTCAATTTCAGTAAAATTTCAAAAATAAATAATTTTAATTACAATAATAATAATACTACGTGTAATATAGATAAATGCAGTTTAATAATGTTAGAAAATAAGTTTTGAACTTGTTTGGAGTAATAAACTAGAACAAGTTTATGAATTGCTAACTAAATGTTGGTTAAAATTCTCATTGTAATTAAGCGGAATTTCGTGTAAACTTTGAACCAAAGTTTAATTAGATACAAGCAAAGTGTATAATTTTAAATGGATCACGAAAATTGGTTTGATGATTATCTTTTTTCTACTTAATATACAAATTTAGATAGTTGTAAATGGATTAAAATTATTATTTCTTGGAAATCAACGATAATCGTTTAATTTGAATAGAAAGATAATTTGAATGGAACGAAATAATCAAAGAATTTCTAATTAGTGAAATGTTACAATAACAAAATAAATTTAATTTTTATTTTCTTAAACTATAAATTATTGTATTTGACAAGGAAAGTTAAGCAATATTTAGTATTTGAACAGGTGATAAGTATAATAGTTGCTATAATAGTCTTAATGTGAGATATTCATATACTATTTAAAGAACAAGTAGACTTGAAGTGAATTCTTTAAAAAAAAAATTAACAAATTTTTGTATAAACATTATTTTTTTAAAAAATACACACATTTTTAAAGATCTTGTAGACTTGAATCAAATTCTTTAAAAAAAAATTAGTTTGTCTTTGCTAGATTTTGTAAAAAATTAATGATTTTTTTAATGATTAGTTAATATTTGAAGTAATGATGTTAATTATTTCGTTAATAGATGTTGTAATGTTTAATATTTGTAGATTTACGAAGGAATTACGTAATTGAAACGGCTTACCAGAAAATTCATTACGTTCAGTCCAGATTTCGCTTCCGGCCGTTGAATGCTTCTCCTCCTCACTCAAGAAAACTATTTATTAAATCAGTGTAGACCGTTAATTGATCAAAGAGACCAACCGACGTGGGAAGATCTTGGTAAAACCTAGGTGGTCGATGATTCAACAACAAACAAACAAATAAAGGAAGAGCAAAGAAAGAGGACAAACTTATTATCAATATTGAATTTATTCGTAAAATTATTTCACATTTACACACAACATTTAATAGCTACTTTAATACAAGAAATTTGGTCGGCCCAGAATCTCCATCCTCCATCTCGATACAATACAATAATAAAAAAAAACATATGTGAGAAACAAAAAATAAAAACAAACAAACAAAAAAAAAATACATCTCTATGTACAAAATAATATATAATAATTATAATTTCCAATATATATATATATAATATAAACATGAATGAGATTTTGGGCCGCGGCCGATTTGAACAAAAAACGAACCGAAAAATTATATAATATAAAATTTACAAGAGAGAGGAGAAAAAAATGTCCGTGTGTGTTATTGGTACGTGTTCATTTGTGTGTGTGTATGTGTGTTTCTGTGAGAGAGAGAAAGGGGGGGATCTAACTTAAAAAGAATTAATATTTACAATTATATAAGAATTTTCGAACACTAAGTGTCTCGTGTATTGGGGATTTTTTGCTTTGTTTTCTCTATTTTTTTTGCTGTTTAGTAGAAGACTTTTTTTTGAGTATTATACACTTTACAGAACATAAAAAATAATGTTATCTTTATCATTATTATTATTAATAATAATAATTATTAGTACTAACGATTTCCTCGTCCTGCGCGGAAAATGCGTGTGACAGAAAGAGTGAGAGAGAAATAAAAGTAACTATAGAGAGAGGATATTTACAAAATATTGTTCTTACATTTATCATAATTTTTATTTCATATATATATATATTTATAATTAATAAGTGGGATTAAACGCTATGTACACTTTCCTCAATCGTTACTTTAGTAAGTTTATTCATATTTGTTATGTAATTTTCACTTTTTTTTTTTCATTCATCTTTAAATTTAATTTAATTAAAGGAACACTAAGTTTATTTTTTCTTCATCTTCTTTATGTATAATATATATATATAATATAATGTATGTAAATCCCTGCGTTTTGGGAGTTTCGCTGTGTGAACCGCTTCCATTTATTTATGTTAGTTAGTTTGCAATGTTTCGTTTGGTAAATGGAAGCGGTGCAGACTGGTCTGAATTATATAACTAAACGAAAATCAAGTCGTGTGAGCACCAAGAAAACAATTAATTTTATGTATAAATTAAAGAGGTTCCATCAAATTAACAGTTTGTTTTTGTTGGGAGGAAATTATAGTTAATTGAAATGCGAGCGGTTTCGAAACGAACATAATTCCGGGTACAAATATTATGATACAATTCACTTTTTGTACTTGTATTATTTATAATATATATATATATAAATTTTTCTCCTTCTTCGTCAGCAATAAGCTATCATAGGAAAAGCACTTTATGGTTTAAGTTTCTTCTTTAGAATATAATTGATTCAAATCCTTTGGAAACAATATCGAATGTGTGTGTGTTTTTTTTTTATATATATATATAATTTGTCTCTTTGTTTATTTATATTGAAAGTGTCTCCCGCTTAGCACCATTTCCTGATGTTGTTGTTGTTGTTATTGATGTTTGTCTTAAGCTCGAGAGTACGGTTTGGGGGTGGTCGAGTGCTATTTGTCCGCGTCTTCCGTCTGCTTAACGTCGAGGCCGTTGACCATCTTTTCTATGCTCTTGAGGTCGCTGGGACTGGAGGCGGTTTCGGGTTTGGGGGAGGCGGTGCTCGGCCTGATGGGTGGTGAAACCGAAGCGCTGCGCACCTTCCCCGACGGTGAATTGCTGAGGCTCCTCGTTTGCGAACCTGGGGTGACCGTCTCGAAGGCGCTGCCCAACGGCGAAGAGCTCACCGTGTTGTTGGGCAGGGTGTACGGGGTGAACCTGTGGCCGCCCTTCAGGTGGTTGTGGAGCGGCGAGGTGGGCGACAGATGGTGACCGTGCGGGTTCGGATGGGCCAGATTCGAGTAGTGCGAGAAGAGGGCCGGATGTTGAGCAGCGAGTGCTAGCTGTGCGTTGAAGAGGAGGCTCGGGTTCATACCGGGCGCGTGTGATCCGGTGAAGAGGGACAGAGGAGGCCCGAACGGCGGTCCTCCGGCTCCCGGGTACATCCCAGGTGGATACAGGTATGGCAACAGATGCGGAGGTGGATGGATCGGCGGACCCACGGATATATTCGGCGATGGGTACTCGCCTGCTGGATTCGATGGTCCGGGTCCTTCCTTCGTCGGCGTCGAAGCTCTGGGTCTGAAGGCCGTGCTACCAGGTGATTCCGAGCAGCTGGATTCGGATCCGGAGTCGTCGTGCAATCGACGCCTCAAATCGTCATCGTGTCCTGTTAATAACAAATAAACAACAACAAGAAGTTAGCCAATTGTCAAACTCAAGTGGTGGTGGTTTATTACCTGAGAGGTTCATGGAAGTGATGGGCGTGGGTGGATGCAGACTCGGCCTCGGGCTGTCCGCCGTTCCGACCACGTCCAACTCGCTGTCGTCCGTCTTTGACACCGTGCTGCTGTCTGCAGACATTCGCGCCGGCAACGGATGCGACGTCTTCTCTTCCGGATGCCGGGACGCTAACAAAGCTTGCCTGTAACAATAGGAGAAAGCAAACTATTAGTCTCTTCGCCCAACAAAACTGTTTCAATCATACAAACAACTTTATACCATTTCACGCTCAATCTACAAGACTTTAAAACCAAAGCCTAATCTAAGATTCATTCTTGAAACACTAAAAAAAATGTATACCAATACATTTTCGAAGCATATTTGTACTGAACAACGAACGGTTATTGCATTTATGTTAGCCGAGGGGGAAACGGCTTGTTTTGTATCAATTACGCAAACTTGTGTGACAATAAATTGATCCCGATGAAACAGAATTTGGGTTTGTGAAAAGGGATTAGAAAGGGGTTGAGAATCGTAGCTAACAGATGAGTAACCGGAGCGACGGACATGCCGCCACCTTCATCCACCCCAGGAATTGCTCATTGTTCTAAGGTCGAAGGGGGTTGATGATGGATTTACCGCGCGACACGACGATCCAGGGTTGATGGAGGTGGTTAGAGCAAACGCACAAAAAGGGGTTGGCATCTTCACAACCAGACGCACATCCTAACTGGATTTAATTGACCGGTTTTTCGGATTACGACCCCACGATGATTTTACACCCCCAGATAAAACCGTTCAGCGTGCATTTTAAGGAAGAAAGTATATATCCTCATCCACCACCACCAAATCCTCCCTCAACTGTGTACATTATTACATGGTCCTGTAAGTGGATGAATTTGCATTTTGTCCCGCGTTGATTAAAGGGTGTGTTACTTTTTTTTATCTACAGTCAGGGGAGGGTTGCTTTTCGGCGCTTCTTCCTTTTCGTCCTACTTCCCAGTTACATTTTTTTTTTTGCTGCTGTCGTCGTGACTCGCGGTCGCAGGGGGTGTTAAAAGGTCTAAATGAAAATTACAGGCGGCCACCGCCGCAATTTTCCGAAACGGGAGGGAGAGAGAGGACTTTCAGAGGGCGGCGATGATGGTGCAACAGAGTATCGAATTAAGGCCCTGGCATTTTATTTTAAGGTCACAAAACTAAAGGGTATTTAGATTAGGGGGTCCACGCACTGCCGCCACTAGCTCTCACTCAATTTGCATTTACAGTAAGTGATATGCATACATTACGGATCCTCTGTCAGGCTTAAAGAGGAACGATCCAGTGGAATCCTCTTTCCTCAAATCATTTATTTATATAACAACCTAAACTAGTGCTATATTCTACCTAACTGTTGAAGCTTAATCCAACCACATTCATTCATTTACAATAAATATTCTAAATCAAATTAGAAGATAATTAAATGCATTCCATTATTAAGAGATAACTCTCATACGTATTATGTTACAAATGGATGTAAATCTATTCCAAAAATAATAACATGATTAATTTCTTAATCCATTTTTATGAAAGATTGAGTAACATTTTTTTGTATATATTTCATTTACATTCAAGAATAGAAGAACAGTATAAAATTTTAAAATGATAATAAAACACAAAAGTTATATAAGATAATGAAATATGTTGCATTCATCAATCTTCAAAGATAACATTGAAAGTATTATGTTACAAATTAATGTAATGATTGATATCTAAATATAGAAACGTGAAGAAAAGTTTAATTTGAAGAAAAAAAATTTCTAAATTTTATTATTGATTATTCATCAAAACTAGATTTTCAAATTGGATGCATGTATTATGGTATAAAATTTAGAAAATTTGGGAAACTCTTAAGATACTTACTTTTTTTCCCGTTTACCAGCGCCCGTGTCCCTGAAGCCCTTCGCGAAAGGATTATTGTCGATTTTCAGCTGCGTGATCTGCAAAATTGAGAGAAACAACATACATCAGTCAGGGCCAATAATTACGCTAACAATTTCCATGGAAAACGCGATGACATTACGTAACATGTGCCGTTCGCCCATCTATCCATCCATCCACACTACACGTTCGTCTCCATCGTTTCATTTCATTCGTTTTCATTGCCGTTACGCGCGCGCGCTTTCTAACTAACCACGATCGTTTCAGGGAAACCATCAAAAAAAAATTCTATTCGAGCTTCGAAATAACATTTCACATTTGGAAATTAGACGTGTCTTTTTTTTTTTAGTATTTAATTGCTCAGAATTTCCGGATTCTTCTTGGAAACCCAATGATGATAATAATTATTGTTTTTCTTTTTGGAAGAACACTCACCTTTTCGTTTTGGTAGGCCGTCACGGCGATGAATTCCGTCTCTTTGAAGACGTACGTCCTGAACGTGGAGTACGGCAGCTTCAGGATGTCGTTCGCCCTCACCAGGTGAAACCTCGGCTGGTATTTGTGCATGGAGTTCAGTATCGTCTGCAACAAAAAGAGAAGAACAACGTTACTTTTAAATTGAAAAAAAAAACCTGTCTGAATCATCATCACAAGAACACAAAAACAAAGAACAACAAAACGAGAAAATAATAATTAAAGACGGGCGCGCGGAATTCTCTCGGCCTATAAAATCTGAAGCATAATTGTACTGTAATTCCTTAATTTAGCGTGAAATAAAACCAATTAAATTCGGAACAGGGGGAAACTTCTCGGTATTGTCTTTAGCTTGCGCGCCATAAAAATATATCTTTATTGATTAGTTATGGCATTCCGCGTTTTATGGATCTACAGAGAAGAAATTACCGGTCGTCCCCTCATACCGACCCGACTTCTCTCATTTTTATTTACATCTCTTTCTCTCTCTCAGCATCATCTTTTTTTTTATTCTTCGCCCCGCTTCGTATTTAATTTTCTCGGTCCTCATCTTTCGAAGAAGAGGTATGTAAAGATAAACACTTAAGCAGTGTCGCTTCTCCTTCTTTATTCTTCTCCTTCATCTTTCCACGCGCTTACTTAATGCCCGTTCGGCTACCGGTTTTCTCCTCTTTTCTTATATAACAAAAAAAAAAACGAACTTTTTTTTTAATTTTATTTCCACATTAAATTGGGGTGGAACCGACCGATTCGGAGACACATAAAAAACACATTAACCCCGAGAGAAGAACGACGATGCGTGAGACGATAATTGGGATTAATTAAAGTTTATTATTCACTCAATATTCTTTCCTTAATTAATCCAAATCGATGACAAACAATAACAACAACAACAAGAGACAATGGAAAATTGTTATTTTTTTCAATAGCAGAAATTCATTTAATCCACGATTTCTTCTTCAAGGTTTGTATAACAGGATACAACACATTTATTGCATACAAACAAATAAAACCATAATTGTATGCTAAATCAAGTTAAAATTATTGCATTTTTAGAGATTTAAACACAACGCATGATTCAAGACACAATTTAAGATTTGTGTAAAGTTATGAAACTTACTTTGTAATTATACAAGTTCCAGTCTTCAAGATATTCAAAGTTTTCATCCTTATATAAAAACCATACCTTCCCCATATTTACCCAACGCACTTGAGCATAATTAAATTTTTAATTATTATAACAATTATTGCCCTACCAAATTCATTAATTTCCTGTACATTTTATAGATAATTATAATAATATCCGATTATATGTTCAAAAGGTGGGACAATGTATCTCCCCTAAAAGATTTAAAGTAAAAATGAAATGTGGAAAGTCCATTTATAAATAAAATTTGCAATCAAATGTGTCAAGTCCATCAAGTCCTGTTTATATAACAGGATACAACACATTTATTGCATACAAACAAATAAAACCATAATTGTATGTTAAAATTATTGCATTTTTAGAGATTTAAACACAACGCATGTTTCAAGACACAATTTAAGATTTGTGTAAAGTTATGAAACTTAATTTGTAATTCTGCAAGTTCTAGTCTTCAAGATATTCAATTAAATCATAACTTTTGTTATTGAAAATTATAAATAAATTTTATTAAAATATTATTGGAACGGTTTTTGCTATAAAAGTAAGTTTTTGAAATGATAAAATCCAAATCAGGAAATAAAATATTATTAGATTTTTTTCAAATCTTGTACATGAGGAAGTAAGTTATAAGGTTAGTAGTTGAGTAGATTTGATGGAATGATGGAAGGTAGTAATTGAATCGAATCCGGACTCTCCTAATTAAAGACGTCACGTCGTATTAGTTAAGTGATCTTCAATTAGTCGGACATCATCTGCCAGACGTCTGGATCTCCAGAAAGCGAAATCGGATGCTTTCGCCTCCGAAGATCGATACCTGTTGGTTAGCGGTTTGTACGAGTGTATGTGCGATTTGAATAAAATAGCAGAAGGCGCCTTCTTTCTCACACTCGCGTTTCCGGAAGTCGGGCTTCGCTGCGAGCAGGAGGGAAAGGGAAAAAAAAAAAGGCAGTATGCAGAGAGAACGGAGCGAGAGAAGAGAAAAGAGGAGAGAACCCGTTTCTTTCGTTCGTTCGTGGTTTTCTTCCCATCGAAAGCGATCGATGATTTGTGTCCGAGCCGAGTCCTCAGGCTTGGTGGTCTCGGTGTTTGGACGCACACGATGTGACTAGCAGGTGTTCCGTGTGCATTTGGCGGAGCCCTGGATGAGTTCCAGATGATGATAATAATAATGCATGGTAATAATAACGCGAATACTGCTTTGCGGAATGGACGGATCACGGTTGAAGAATGAGAAGAGGAAGAGTTCTCGAAAAGGGAGAGGGTGCTGCTGGGCTAACCTAACCGCACCGGAAACTCAGACATTGATCTCGCTCTTCCTTACTTCCTGCACATGGTTGTAGAGGGCGACCCTCTTACTCCTCTTCCTCCTCCTCGTCCTCCTGGCATCATCCGTGGAGCGCGAACTTAGTTACTTCGCTTCAAGTTTATCACTTTAGAACGGCTCGTTTGCTCCAGAACCGATAAATTAAATTACAGCATACTCGGAAGAATTTCCCTCCTTCTCCTCCTCCAACTCGCCCTTCGTATCTTACCAAAGCTTCATAGAGAGAACGACTGTTTTGTAAGGGCGTGCGACCCCTGCGCGATCATTAAATATTGAAGGAAACAATTCCATTCCGCGTCTATCTCCTCCATACCTTCAACCACTCCAGATGATGATCATCCTCAAGTCATCTTCGAGAAAGGCAAAGCCGCTTAATATTATTTAACATTTCAACACCAGTTGAGTAGTACATTATCACTTAGTGACGATGTGTGTGAGAGTGTGTGCGCGCGAGAGATGAGCTTAAAAGGACCAGTCGTCCGGACGAGTCGAGCACCTGGTGAGGTGGTTCTCATCCGTTCGGCCGCTGCTCTGGACCGCTGTCCTCGTTATCTTCCACAGTAGCTTCCCAGATACGTTACTACCTTAATGTAAAACTGGTGTCTTTGGTTGGAACGCGACGCCGACAGATAGCCACCCATGCGACGTAGATATCAACACGCACTCAAGAATTTTATCAATTAAAAACGAGTACTCATCAAAGAGGACGATGAAAAGAAGAAGGATACATACGCTGCAATAACAACAACAACGACGACGACAACGTTCTTCTCTTTTTCTTCTCCACTCTTTCAAACGCATATCTTTCCACCCTTTCACTTGATGCAAGATTAATATTAATCCCATTGTTCTAAAACTAGCACACTTCAACAGAAAAAAAAACTACTTCACTGTGGGGCAAAGTTTTCATCCTTATATAAAAACCATACCTTCCCCATATTTACCCAACGCACTTGAGCATAATTTAATTTTTAATTATTACAACAATTATTGCCCTATCAAATTCATTAATTTCCTGTACATTTTATAGATAATTATAATAATATCCCATTAGATATGTTCAAAAGACAATGTATGTCCCCTAAAAGACTTAAAATGAAATGTGGAAAGTCCTTGTAACCATTTATAAATGAAATTTGCAATGAAATGTGTCAAGTCCATAAAAATTGGGTATCAATTATAGTAATCGTGACAAAGCGAATAACATTATTAGTATAACAAATATTAATTGGATTTGAGAATGAATGAGCGAGAAATGCGCAAAGGATTAGGATGTGAGTTAATGAAGTTAGAGGAGATTAGTAATGAAGTGGAGTTTTTACAAAAAATTAAAAAAAAACTAAATGAGAATAAATGTAAAAGGAGAGGAATGATAATTTAACGCAAATGCGGTTATTAAAAAGGAGTCGGTTCCGTTGGTTGGGCCGTGGATGTGAAGCGGTGGGGTTCTGTTGGGGGGGTTGGTGAGGGGCGCCGCGGCACCTTTTGAGCCTCGCGATTATTTATAACCCGGCCGTTAAGCGGTGTGAGGTATATAAAATATTGAAATAATTCCCTTATCCGAAGGTAATTATAAAGTCGACGCTTTCGCTCTGAGGAAAGAGAGACTTTGCGCACGTTGTCTAACATTTTGCACGCAGGCAGCGAAGTCGAAGTCGTCGCGCAAATGTTCTCTCCGATCCTCTTCAAGATCACGGATCACGGGACAAACAAGAAGTGTAGACTTTAAATAAGAGAGAAAAAGAGAGAGATAAAGAGAGTGAGATGAAATGGTCCGGTCTGACGAGCGGTAATCAATTATGCAAATGAAATATTAATTTTAATAAGACATCATCGGATGTCGCGGCATGTCTCAGAGCCTCCGCTAATTAGAGGATTAAATCGTCGTGCTTTTATCCGCCAAATCCACGGTTTTAAGTCGTCGTCGCATGCCGCCACCGCCGCCGCCGCCTCTACGTGTATTCATTCTCCTCGTATCCTGGGGGTTTGTCACCAAACACAATCGAGGCAATAAATTAGCGAGGAAAGAGATTAAACGTCGCGAATCACATAAATTAACCGACCTTTTTCCACCTTCCATACCATCATTTCACCTCTCCCCGCACCAATCCTATTCCGATAAACGATTGTCCTTGCACATATTTTTCTTTTCTTATTCCAGTTTTCCAATGCCTTTTACAAAACTCCCATACAAACTTATTTTCATCCCATTTTTAGGTTTATTGCCGCATTCACAAGCACAATATTCATATATTCCATACCTTGTTAAAAACACAAACAATATTTTATACAATTCGAATATATCAAAACGTTATTATTTTTACTTCATACAAAATGACATTAATTGAAACTAATTAAAGAACAAATTAAGAAAGTCTATTATTTCAAGTAAATAATTGTATAAAAATCGTTACATTAAATTTCAATTATTAAAGTGAATTTAATATAGATAATCCTAAAATCTCAAACTCTCATTAAATGCTACAAAAGCAATAATTTCTATGTACATTTATTTAAGACTTTCTTAATCCAATTTATTTTAACTTTCTTAAGAAGATTAATTTGTGATTTATTAGTATTGATAATCTTTTATTTCGGATAATCAATACTATTTCTATAAGAATTTGTGGTTTCTCT